TATGCCTGTGCCATCTTTCTCACCAAAATATGAAAATGAGTTACAGGTATGCATAATTTAGTATGGAAACATCCACAAACGATAAGGAAAAGATCAACAAGCAATTATCTGTCGGGGGATAGCCCCATAAATCACAGTAGGTTCATATGATGACATGTCCTTTAACCAGAGAAATCATGTTTGCAAAGAGTATTTATACATATACAATAGACTAAAAGAAAATACTCTTTTGACAGCAGTCATCTCTGAATAACTGGCTTACAATTACTTAATTTTTATTTTCTCCTGTCCTTTTTTTGGTAGTTTCTAAAAGTCGTGTTTGTAACTGCTATATATCTTTCAATTAAATTTATAATTTTGAAAAGTCATTAAGCATCAGAAAATTCAAAAATAGCATTGTAAAGATTTATATTTTGCAACAAAGAAAACCTCCAAAACACTGATGATTCACAAGTCCTAGCACTTTCAGTGAGAAAACATCTGGCCAACAGATTAATTTGTTCTGGTTCTGATTGTTTTGCGGTGATGTTTACACTACTTCTCACTGTCTTGTTTTTCTCTTCATTCAAATATGAATTACCTGTGATATAGTTACATAAAAGTTCTGTATTTTTAAACAGTATTTCCTACTAATCTCTTTATGCCAGAGGCATTTAAATTTGGCAGATAAGATAAACCCGGAATGTAAATTGCTATAAAGATTTTTTTTCCTTCAAGGAATCTGTATCAAATTGAGGTTAAATACAACCTGGAATAAGACAATGTCAATCACAAAAGGGAAGGGCAAGTATGAAATTGTTAGGGAAATTTAAGTATAGTGGTACATCAGGGAATAATACATTAAATTCAACATTATTTTAAAATTCAGTACATTGAATTAGAGACTATTATGGTGACAAATTCCATTAAGAATGACTCAAGTATTGAGTTCCTCATAATAATCTACATAAAATGGTGCAAGCACTTTGGGAAAAAGCTTACAAGTCCTCAAAAAATTAAACAAAGAGGTACCATAGCACCTGGTAAGTGTAGCCAATAATCCAAGAGAACTGAAAACACTGGTACACACAAAAACTTATACTTGAGGAGTCATTGCAGAATTACTTAAAATCGTAAAGGTGTACAAACAAGTCAGATGTTGAGTTGATGAATGCATGAATATAATATAGAGTAATCATACAATGGAAAATTATTTGACAATAAAAAGGAATGAAGTACTGACACATGCTACAACATGAATGAACATGGAAAAGCTTGTGCAAATGATAGAAGGTAGTCACAAAGGCCAGATAAGATGTAATTCCATTCAGATAAAACATCCCAAGCAGGCAAGCCAGAGAGACTGAAAGTCAATTAGCTGTTTCTAGGGGGTACAGGCTGGAGAGGGACACAGGATAAGTAACTATAAATAGATGAGCAATTTCTTTTAAAATTCTCTGAAACTGATAGTGCTGATGGCTTTATAACTCTGCAAATGCACTAAAAACATGGAATTGTACATTTTAAAAGGATGAATTTGGCTTTTCTATCATGAGATGCAGTTCCTCTAAACAACAAGCAGAGCTATAATGGTTTTTAAATTATTTCAAAGAAGTTTCATGTTTTATTTTTTGTTTTTGTTTTTGTTTTTGTTTTGAGACAGGGTCTCACTAGGTAGTTGAGACTGACCTGGAACTCACTATGTAGCCGAAGCTGGTCTCAAACTCATAATGATCCTCCTGCCTCAGCCTCCCAAGTGCTGGGATTACAGGCATGTGCCACCATGCCCAGCTCATGTTTTAGACTATAACAAAACCCTTCAGTTTTATGACTGCATGTAGATAGAAACCTAGAGATTATAAAACTAGTCCTGGTCTGCCTCAGGAAGTGAGAAGGAGTTTGAGATGGCACTGCTGCATTTCCTACCCAAGAGAACCATACAATCTGACTTCTAATTCTTCATCATGTGTTGACTTACAGCACTCAGGGGATGGATATATAATGTCAGTTTCCCCCTATGTAAAAAGGTAAGAACATATTCGCTGGCTTTCTTGTAGGGACTTACTACAAAAGAACAAACATGCTTGGAGTACCTACTGGGACTATGGGAAGGCAGTGGGAACAGGGTAATAAAATATATAGGCAAATGACCTGCCTATATCACAGTGCAGTAAGTCCCCTAACAATGACTTAAAAATTGTGAGAGATCAAATAAAAATACTTTAAATGTGCACTAAGAGAATTATAAGTAAATTTTAATAGTGGAATATCATATAATAGTGGAAATGAATGAGCCACAGTACCAAAATAAACCTGGTAAACACTAACTGTGAACAACGACAAAAATATTCTAGAAGATGTACACAGTATAAAATCACTTATAGAAAGCTCAGAATAAGCTAAAGTACTGCATATCATAATGTGATGATATTCCTGGGAAGGATAAATGCCAAAATCAGATAGTGTTCTTTGGTTCTCAGGGGCCTTCTACGTTATGGATGGTGGGCAAATGAGTGTTTATTGTGTTATTTTGCATACGGTTTTATATATCTTAACCATTGCACACTTATTTTTTAATGTTGTATTAGAGAAAAAAATTATAGGTCACTTCCTACTGAGTGAGACTAGAAGATAAGGAAAGACTTTTTAGGAGAAGGTGTCCAATCTGGGCCTAAAAGACTCATGACTTTATCACACAGAGAGGAAGGAAAGACGCTATGAGTAAAGGGAACAGAGTAACCAAAGAAAAATAACAAGGTTATAGAATAAGGAACTACAAGCTTTCTATAAGTAACAAAGCATTTTAAAGTTTCTGCTTCTTACAGATTTTCAAAATACAGAACACAAAGGACAAAGAGATATTCATGAATTACGGTGCAGAAAGCTTAATACATTGAAAACAAAACATAACCAGAACCTTGGTCTGGTTTGGAGGGTTGCAAACTTACTCCTTTTTAATAGTGAGAACAAATTGGGATCCTTGGAATATACCACTAGGGAGATGGTGGGAGAATAATTTTATCCACAAGTATTAAGTTGTTGCCTGAGGACAGCTGAGTAAACAGTTTGCTGAAGTCTGTTTGAGGACTGCCAGCTAGTTACACCCATAATTTCATCTCTATTAACAAAAACAACGCGTACTGTCACAGTGCCCTGCTTTGGCTACCCTAGGGTTTGCAGTATGTGAATTATGGAGTGTCACTTGAGGAACATTCTATAGCAGTGGGGGCTGTGTTTTGATGTCCTTTCATAACCCACCCCCACTCTGCTGATTTATGGCATACCAGGCAGAAACCTAAATCAAAACTAGAAAATACGTGTGAAATAATGCAAAACAGAGTCGAAGGGTTGGCAATTCTGTAATTATACCTAAAGGAAAAATAATTATGTAATACCATATGGCAAAAGTAAGTCACAGAAAAACAAATGTCCATACTGTAAATGTAAAATTCTGGGAAGAGCACACAGTTTTGAAGAGAGGCAGAGGAAAGGTTTGTCTTTTAAAAGGACGCACAGACAACTTTGTGAGTGATATTTGGCCTTTGGTAATATTGTTTACAGGCCAGGAAATGAAGGTTTGAGTGAGTAGAGTGACACGGCCCTGACAAATGAATGCAGAAAATGGGGCAAAATTTGAGTTATTTATTGTTTCTACTCAGTCTAGACTACTACCTGGTGTAGCCATTGGTTTTACCCACCAGTTGAAATTCTGGAAATGTGAAAGCTACTTATTGATAGAACACAGAAAACTCTGCAAGTCTTAACAGCAACTATGAAGTAGGAACTAAGTCAACATAAGAAACAACTCACACTGGTGACCTTTCAGTTAAAAAAATAAATGAAAGAATTCCTCAGTAGTCAAGCGTCGGAAACTCTCCTGGATAAGTCTATCAGCTAACGAACAACCTCCAAGTAAAGGGAAATATGAGAGAAACGACCTGGGCAATATTCCAGACTCAGTCTTCATGCTGGAAAGCCACCTTCTGTCCTGCTGTACATTGCACGGCCTGAGCATAGGACCTGCATGCAAGATGCTGGGAAAGATTAGGTACCTGAGGCTCTTAGTGGACAACTTTCTTAAAAAATTAGCCCTAGGTCTCTCAAGTCATTCATCTCTGTGCAGCGATACTGAGGACTGTCCTGAAACTGTGTGAACTCTGAGGGCAGAAGTGACAAAACCACTCTAAACAGGGAAATGGGGAAAACCAGGGAATTCTTTAAGACAGGTCAGCAGACCAGAGACTTCAGGCCAAGTCTATACAGCTGTCTTTGTAAATAAAAATTTTTTTGGTAAACAGCTTTTCTCATTTAGTCATTCTGTGGCTGCTTTGACATACAATGGTAGACTTGGATACTTGTGAGAGACACGCTGGGCTGGCTGGCTTGTCACAGTGCCACCCTGGTTGCTCTTCTGCCCCAGCTCCCAGCACTGTCTAGCTGCTAACCTGAACATTTAAAAGCCCCAAGCCAACCCATCCCACGTGTCTAGCTGTCTGAAGTAGAGTCTCTCTGAAGAGAGATTCTGCCAATTTCAGGAACCCCACCAGTGTCTGCTCTCTGAGGAAGTGGCTTTTATAAGCGAAACTATCCTATGTTCCTGGCAGCCAAATAAGGTGGCTTCCTGAGAAAATGGGCAAATTTCAGAGAATGAAAACCACCCTTTGCTGTCTAGTTTTTACCAGGCTAGGAAGAAAAAGGTGACTTGTCCTTCATGAGAGATTTATTGCCAGAGGAAAATAGAGACTAACACATCAATCATGCAGAGGAAGGCTGGGATGTTCTCTGACTCTATGAAGTACACTTACTAAACTTTTTCTGAAATGACCCAAGAAAAAAAATGACAAGAAAAAATCTCTTCTCCTGAGAGATTGAGCCTCTCCCTTCCATCCACCCACCTACCCACAGGGAACTATAAATTAGATATTAAAGCCTCAGCAAATTGGCAACTGAAGCTTTAAACATTACAAAGTGCCAAGTCTGGGCGCCAATACAGATATTTTTTTTGTTTTAGGCATTGGCCATTTAAAAATACACTGAGAAGATTCTGGAAGAAGTAGAGTTATAGATGAAAATTCCCACACAAAGAGATCAAGATACAAAAAGAGATGCCTTGCTCCTTGCATGTACTAGGAGCTGGATAAGAATCATTCCACACATCTACACAGTAACTCTCCAAGGTAGGTATCATTATCTTCCCATTAAAGATGATGCAGGGTCCTAAGTCCCAGGGTCACTAGTGAGCCCATACCCACACTGGGCAGTATTTAAAAGACGACCACAAACTACAACTGATAAAACCTCTTATTTTAAGACAGCTTGCTTGACGGCAACATAAACGGACTCTGAATTTTCTCTCCAGAAAAAGTCTCAGAAAAGGTGAGTACAGAATTTCAAGCCTTGTATTTCCCCCCAAAGAAAGAGTCATCTGTTTTCTTTCTGTTTGTACAACCACTGGGCTTTAGAGAATAATTCATCCAAACTCACAGAACGAAGAAGGAAACTGAGGCCTTGAGAGGCAGAGTCCCTTAACCAAAAACAAACTAATCAGTGGCTGGCAAAGCTCTTCTTCTTGGCCTTACTGCTGTTTCCTACTTTTTTAAAAAAGGTTTTTCCAGATTTATTTAGATATTGTTGGCAAAAACTATGATTTTTCAGTTGTATAAGATTCCATATACATCTATTTTGTGAAATGCTTACCACAATTAACTTGTTTAACCTTTTCACCTATGAAGTTGCCCTTTTTATGTTTTGTGAAAAAAAATAAATTTCAAGTATATAATTCAGTATTATCACTGTAACTGTTAATCTTGTTTGTCAACTTGATTGGCTTGAGAGATTCCTAGGCAATTAGCAAAGCCCACTTCTGGGTATTGGGTTATGAGGGTGTGACCTGAGAGACTGTATCTGTTTCCTAACCCCTTCCTCTGGCTCAGGCTCTTCCCCTGCTCTCTGCTTCCAGACGCCATGAGGTGAGCAGCATTCCTCAACCACACCCTTGTGCCATGATGTTTCTGACCTGGAGCGAGCTGACCGTGAGCTGAAACTGTGAGCCAAAATAAACCTTTTTTTCTTTTAAGTTGTCAGTGTCAGGAATATGGTACCAACCACAGAAAGCTGACTAATAAAGTTAACCATAATCACCTCTGAACTTATTCATCTTACAACTGAAAGTTTATACCTTTTGATCAACATCTCCCCTTTCTTCCCATTCCCCATCTTTTAAATCACTATATATATTTTCTTCTTATTTTGTTTAACATATGAGAGGCAAATAATGTTGGTACCCTAACTTGAAATTTAAGGACCACCCACCTGTCATCCATTGTCAGAAAGTACCAGTGTATGATCAATTAATACCATCATGATCAATGTGACCACTTTTACCACACATAGTTCAGTTTTCTCTCATTTTCTTTATTTTTCTAGTCATGATTAACCAGAGGAGTGAATAGGCTAATGAGTGAAAAATAAACCATGATGAAAAATCCAAAATGTTCCCAGTCATTAAAAAAAGTTCCATTATTTATTCTTATACTTATTTAGGAGGGTGGGCTAATGAGGATATTCTTGGGCATGACTGCAAGAGAATGTGTAAATGCTCTTTTTTTTGTTGGTTTTCTTTCCCTACCTGGACTTTAGTGGTGGGATTAAGCTTACTGGCAATTGAGAGCAAATACCAGATGCCAAAAAAACCTTGGGAAGTGTATGGGTTTCCAAGTGGCCATAAAGGCAGAACAATCAACCAAATAAAAGTCAGGGCTGTATCGTGTAAACTCTTTTCTCCCCTCTTTCTGTGAGTTCCCTCTCTTCACAGTTCCCCTTTCCACAATTCTCACCTTTTGTACTAAATCTTCCACATGGGTAGAAATACAACCAACGGGGAAATTGTTGTGCGGAGGAGGTTGATCTAGTCTGAGAAGTAGCTTGCTCTGAGCACAATCCTACTGCCACGAACTGGCCCAATTTCACCAGTAGCAGTAGCCCTCTCTTTTGTGGGCATGGAAATGTCTGATTTTAAGGCTAGAAGATGCTCCAGTGATCCTACTCACCTTTTATATCTGATCCAATTTCAGCTTCCTGGATTGTCTTACAGAAGCAAATAATTGATCTCTTCACTTTGACCGTGGTCATATTCCAGTGGTCCCCATGGGGACCAGAAAATCACATTTCAATCAGATGCCTAAGAACACTTCCCTTGTCCTCTTTAATACGGAATTAACTCTAATTAATTCCATCCACTGGAATCTACATTTAAGTAAACTATTTCAGAGCTTGAACAGGATATATATTTCAGGGCTCCCAGACGTGTTTTTACCTGCACAGAAGGTTCATAAGCAACTGGGTACATGCTGAACGAGGCTACAGTTGCCCACCTGGTCAAGAAGGACTGATTTAAAGAACTGAGTTTTAGCAAAAAATAAAATAAATCAAGAAGACAAATGTCATCTTATTTACAATCTCCATGTAAATGCTTTATTATTCAGAGGAAATAGATGTTTTCTTTAGTGTATCTAAGAACTGAGTTTACATCCAAGGACTCATGGTTAGAGGTCAATTACCCCCTTATTTATAGGATAGAATCTTCTGAAAATCCTGAGGTGAATGACAAAGGTCTTGCTCTGGTCAGGAGGCTACCTGGGGAGAGGAATGAGATCGATTGCAGGCTTTCCTCCGTGAAAACTGCTCAATTCAGAGCTCATCGACTGGTGGAAACTGCCTCCTTCTGGGTCAGTGGCCAATACAGGTAATGTCTGGATGGGAGGAATCTATATGGCACTGTAAATGGTGAGACTTGTTCAGACTGGTGACTGAATTTCAGTGTTCGTGGGACATTCTTGACACTTGTCAGAAAGTGAGTGCTTAAGATATTGACTTACTGAGAGAACTACAGTTCCAAGAGAGCCTATGCATGAATCTTTCCTCATACATACACACTCAAGCTTTCCTCAGGTTGCCACCTTGTCCTCTGACCCAGGAAGGAGAAGAATACAAACTGTAAAATAACTCATTGCACCATAAGGGAAGGTCTGTCTCTCTCAAACTCTCCTCCTTTCTCATACAGCGGACTTGTTAATATAGGAGAATAATTATTATATCTCACATTTGGTATTAGGGTTTCTTCACTCCTTCTTCATGCAATATGATTTTCAGATCATTCTGGTAAGGAAAAAGTTCCCTTCAGAACTTCACCTCACTTCTACATTCACAGGATACCTAAAGCATTGGATGTAAGTACCTCTAACAGCCATGCTCATCTCCTTGAAACTTTTCTATCTCCACACCCTCTCTCTTCCCATAGAAGGCTTTATCTTCCCTAGCTGATTCTTATTTCTTTCTGAAAGAAGGGAAGAAGATCCCTCTGTCGCCTCATGGCACTTCATATCCCCACATACTGCAGTATATGTCCTCAGAATCCTCCTCCTCATCCTCAATCTCTCTTTCATGATATATCCAATTTAGATTTGATTCTACACTGTTAACCAAATGAGTCTCAAATGAGCAAGATCTCAAAATTTTATCAGTTACAGCATTGAGTTCTAATCTTGTGGGGATGCTTTTCAACTATTTTCAAGTAATCTAAGGACTTTTGAGTAGTTTTTCTAAAAGAATTTTCTTCAAAGTTTAATTTTTTTCTTTTTACAATAAAGTTAAACTTTATTATATTTGTAGGATGCCTGAATGAGTGCAAAAATTCCTCAAGTAGGAGTTAAATTTTAGGTGGGTCATGGGAAGGAATGCTCTTTAGGGAACTGCTTTTAGGTTGACGAATTTGACAAAATGGGCTGCTTTTGTTCCTTAGGTGTTCACTCTGAAACAGGGGCTGGAATAGAAGCAGCTTAATTATTTGAAAGTAAGTTTGCTTTACATGGAGAGAAACAACAAAATCCAGGGCAGCAGAGAGAGTGTGTGCCAATTTGCAGCTTGCCATCTCCCCACCCCATTCCAGGTGAAAGGCCAGAGTGCTCACCCATCTATGGCAACATCTATCCTGATTCACCTTGGAGTCTCTAGGGCCATGTTGGGCCGGATGATTATTTTGCAACAACCCTAATCAGAACCACAGCCAAGTTCCAAATAAATCCAGGTTTGTTAAGATATTCCCTAATAGAAAGACTTCTGGAAGGTGAGGGCAAAGTTCGAATAAAGAAAATAATGTCATGGATATATCAATGTGAAAGAGGCTGGCTAACCCAGCTCACAATTTCCCTTCCCTCTACCTCCCCGTCTCCTTCTCCCATCTCCCCCTTTCTCCCTCCCTCTTAGATATGCTTTCCAGCTTGTCAGTGACACACTGCATGTAGCCCCATCTGGTACATATAATTACACTGAAAATAAATGAAAAATAAAAATAACTGTACATATAGAGTGGGAGAGCATAAATTAAAAACTGGGCTAAATTACTTGAGTCCATAAATTCTGAATGCAGTCATTTTGACTTTGTAAAAATTAAGTCATGACATGAAGACAAAACAAAGTCCTGAGGATTCCTGTTCTAGAATTTTTCTCTTAGGATGTGATTTGAAACTAAGTGTGTATTACTCTTTGCTATAATAAGCAGACAAAAGATGCAGAAGTAGACATCAGTATAGAAATAGTGTTCCATGCCCAGCTCTGTCTGAACTGGTCCACGGATGATTTGTAATCACTTTATACTTTTCAAAGGTTCAAAGTATGAAATCAGCCTCATTCTGAGAGTTTAAATAGAACCTCCCTTTGCTGTTTTCTAGTAGAGACTAGTGTGTAAAGGGCCAGAACTTCAGAAAGTTTACCAGGTCCGGCTGACTTGGAACCTAAGGGAGTCTTTATCATTCATTATCAGGTCTTAGTTATCCGTGAAGACCTTTCCCTAGTCTCCATCTTCATAGCTAAATAGCCATGGGCTGAGGGCAATCTTCAGTCTTGGGGCTTTAAACTTGACATTCCTGCCTTCAAGGGCTCAAACACTACCCAATTCAACTTCTGTGCTTCCCAGAGGAAGCTAAACAACAATTAGACAAGATTTGATAGGGTCATGAAAATGCTTCACTGAGAACCAAATGGTGATGGTAAGGATTTAACAAAAATCCTCAGATATGAAGTATCAGACTTTTCTTCTTTTCACAAGATAGTATTTTATTTTTCATTTATTTACACAAATTATTTTTTAAGAAACTTTATAAAGAGATGTAGCACAATGAAAATAACTATAAAGGCTAAACTAATAGTATTATAACAAAGAAAATAAGCATAGTGACTAAACAAATAACAGTCAATGATTTCTTATAATGCATTAGATATGTACTAAGAAACATACAATATTGTTTATTTTTTTCTAGTGTGTATTAGGATTTCTAGTTTATACTCTAGAAAATTGTAGCTGCCAGAGGTCTAAATAACCTAAGGCATCAAACTTGCCTTTGTCTGATTTCAAAGACCTTGCTACCCCCACCTTACATTCTTTTTTTTTGGTTCTGGGGATTGAACTCAGGTCCTTGCGCTTGCAAGGCAGGCCACCGAACACGCTGAGCTAAATCCCCGGCCCCTTAAATTCTTTTATTGGTACATTTTAGCATACAATACATTTACATTCATCATTGGGAACTTGTACCTTTGTACAGTGCATGTTGGTTCTTACTGTTTCCCCATTCCTCTGCCCTCCCTTCAACCCCGCCACCCCTCCCTATTTGAAAAAGCTTTTTTTCCATTTATTTCTTATCTCATATTTTTGCCCTTTCCCTTCCATTACTGCATGCCTACCATAAAGACTGCTAGGCTGAGGAGCTGGGGTACACTCTATGATAACAGCTTCTCTGCTGCAAACACCAGTGGGCCAAGAAGATTTAGTCCCTTTAGCCATTCATATCTCTACCAATATTTTCCTCTTCTATTGCTAGTGTTAACTCTCTTCTTATGCTTTTTCCCTTCTTTCTTGTGTACTTATATCATGGAAGGAGAGAGAAAGAGGGTGTACACACAAAGGTATGGATCAGGCAAATGTGATTTTGTGGTATTTGTTACATAGAGAGGAC